GAACGGCATGGAGGATGCCAAGATCTGAATTTCCCTTCCTTTGCACATAATATTCCAGGCATTTCCCCTCCCCTATTTTGGGGTCATGATTCATATCTTCCAATTAACCTGGAGGGCAAAGATTCACTTCCGTTCCCTTCCGCACGCTTTTCCCTCCCCTCAGTCTCATCTGAATTAACTCTAAAAATACCAGACAGTTCTGCATATTTTATCAAAGCAAGAATATTCAATATTAGCAGTGCTGACATCCAGTCCCCCTTACAAAAAGGATAAGTCCTATATGTGAACAAGAGCATATGTCAGGGATTATTTCTTAGTTTGTTGAGGTTTTTTTCATGAAACTTTTTGATGAGTCGGTCAGCTTTCATATTGCTAGATTTCACCCAAGTAGCTTCAGACAGTGGGTACCCCTTCCATTGTACTAGGTACTGCAATTTACCTTTAAAAATTCTAGAGTCAAGAATACGTTTCCCTTCATAGTGAGCCTGACCTGCTACTACAAGGAGTCCGGGTGCCTTCTTAGGGGGAGGCCTTAAGGTGGAGCCCCGACAAGGTTTTAACAAGCTGCAATGGAAGACAGGGTGAATCCTCCCTAAAAGCCTAGGAAGTTTCAATTCTACTGTGACGGGGTTGAAAGTTTTGAAGATCTTGGCATGATGTCATTTGTCTGACTAATGAAACACTTCAAAGAACTTTCAGGCATTGTTTAACCTAAAAAGCCTTTATTAGTGTAATGGAGTGTCAGCACGGCATGGAGGATGCCAAGATCTGAATTTTCCTTCCTTTGCACATAACATTCCAGGCACTTCCCCTCCCCTATTTTGGGGTCATGATTCACATCTTCCAATTAACCTGGAGGGCAAAGATTCACTTCCGTTCCCTTCCGCACGCTTTTCCCTCCTTCTCTCAATCTCATCTGAATTAACTCTAAAAATACCAGACAGTTCTGCATATTTTGTCAAAGCAAGAATATTCAATATTAGCAGCATTGACATACTATTCTCGCAGCTGTTAATACATGTAATATTAAATATTCATTTTCTTTTCCATAATCAAGTCTTAATATTCCTAGCAAAAACAATTCCGGCTTAAATTCTATCTATATTTTAGTCATCTTTTCCAGCCATATATGGATCTTAAACCAAAATTTCTTTGCATTAGGACATGTCCACCAGACATGATAGTAAGTACCTGGTTTTTGTTTACATTTCCAACAGATATTTGGTACATTTTAAAACATTTTCGCTAATCTAACCGGTGTCATGTGCCATCTAATAAAACATTTTATATAAATTTTCTTTGTATGAAGCTGCGTTAGTAAGTTTAATATTCCTCAAAGAGTTTTCCCCAACCCTGAGGTAGCCAGTGTTCCACATAGTGACTGACACATTCAATTAATGGCTGCATCAGAGAGATCAGGGTAATTAACGGCCGGTACAACATGCAGCCATAATTGCAAGGCCCATGCCAGTTATATCTTCGGGATCTTTTCTAAGCTGGCTGAGGAATTCTGGGCCTCAAAATCTGGTGGAAACCAAGGTAGAAGACCTGAAACTCCACATGTGGGAATTATATAATCAATATAAAAACTACCACCCAGAAGCCTTTTTGAGAAAATCCACAACTTCTACAAAAGAAAATATCCGGTAGCTGTTGCTGATAACCAGAAATTGGTAGTTAGCCTTGTTCTGCCCCAGACAGAACAGACGGCCTTAGTCCTATCCAGGACAGACAGATAACTCAGAGGAATAAACAGAAAATATCGCTTTATTGAATCCTAAACAATAACTCAGTTATGTAGAGATACGTCCAGTATATTTTAGCGCTATTGGTGACATGGTTCCAAAAAGAAGCAGCTTTTCAAAGAACTTTGAGGCTTATTTACCTTAAAGAATCCTTTTATTTCTGCATAACTTCGGCACACACGAAAGTTAAGCCAAAAACTGAATCACCCGTAACAAAGCATAATTCACTGCCTCCTTCCACAATCATCAATCACATTCTCCAATTAAAGTGAATTGTGAAATGCCCCTCCCGTTGCAGCTGACCTTGGCATACTGTGCTGAGATATTTGCCCATCCACTACTGGCATTATTTGCTTTAACTCTATAAATTTTATTTATTTATTTATTTAGGAGACTTATATACCGCTTTTAAGTGCAAGCACTCTCTAAGCGGTGTACACCAGTAAGCAATGTATGTATATATTTACATTGCCCCCAACAATCTGGGTCCTCATTTTACCTACCTCGGCAGAATGGAAGGCTGAGTCAACCTTGAGCCGGTGAGATTTGAACCGCTGACCTGCTGAACACAGTCAGCTAAAGTGGCCTGCAGTACTGCACTCTAACTGCTGCGCCACCTCGGCTCATAAATGCTACACAGGCTAAACAAAACAGGCTTGCTTCTTCATATATGGCAAGCAAGAACATCCGATGTTAGCAGTCTTGACATCCGGCCCTCCTTACAAAAAGGACAGATCCTGGAATGTAAACATAAGCATAGGTTAAGGGTTATTTTTCGGTTTGTTGGGGTGTTTAACATGAAACCTTTTAAACAATCTGTCAGCTTTCACTTCACTAGATTTCACCCAGGTGGCTTCAGACAACGGGTATCCCTTCCATTGTACTAGGTACTGCAATTTCCCTCTAAAGATTCTAGAGTCAAGAATACGTTTCACTTCATAGTGGGTCTGCCCTGCAACTACGAGGGGCCCAGGTGCCTTCTTCGGGGGAGATCTTAAAGTGGAGCCCCAATAAGGCTTCAACAAGTTACAATGGGAAACTGGGTGAATTTTCCCTAACAGTCTAGGCAGTTTTAGTTGTATTGTGACCGGGTTGATGATCCTATGGCTGCTGGGCTCTCTGCTGTTGACGTGGTGCTGCCACTTGCTGTTGGCCCCATCCGGCCTGCTGATCCAATGGCTGCTGGCCCCTCTGCTGTTGACATGGTGCCCCCAGTTGCTGTCGGCCCCATCCGGCTTGCTGATCCAACGGCTGCTGGGCTCTCTGCTGTTGACATGGTGCTACCAGTTGCTGTTGGCCCCATCCGGCCTGCTGATCCAACGGCTGCTGGTCCCTCTGCTGTTGGCGTGGTGCCCCCAGTTGCTGTTGGCCCCATCCAGCCTGCTGATCCAACGGCTGCTGGGCCCTCTGCTGTTGACGTGGTGCTGCCAGTTGCTGTCGGCCCCATCCGGCTTGCTGATCCAACGGCTGCTGGGCTCTCTGCTGCTGATGTGGTGCCCCCAGTTGCTGTTGGTCCCATCCTGCCTGCTGATTCAACTGTTGCTGGGCTCTCTGCTCCTGGCCAGCGGGGGCTGGTGGTGCCCCCTGCTGCTGCAGGCTTCCCAGTGGTGGCTGTGCAAGTGGGGGTTGTAGTGGTCTTCTCTGCTGTAGGATTGCAAGGGATGGTGATGCCCTCTGCTGCTGTAGGCCCGTCAATGGCTGCTGGACATGTTGGGCCTCTCTTATCTGCAAGCTCACCGGCTGTAGCTCCCCTGGCTTTGGCACCGCCCCAAGCTGCTGCAAGGTCTCTTTTAGTTGTTGTAGGCTTAGAGATGGCTGACTACTCATCTGTGGGGCTTGCTCAATTTCTCCTTGCTGCAGGGGCCCCAGGCTGGGGCTTCTTCTCCCTGTGGGGCTAGAGGCTCTGGCACGGGACCCCAGGGGTTGGAGAGCCGGTTGATCTGCGAGGGAGGGGCTGGGGGCCTCTCTCAACAAGAGTTGCTCTTCGCTCCGCACCTCTAAGTTTTCAAATCTCTCTGCTAGGTATTCTAATGACTCACTGCGAGCTGCAGGTGGGGTTTTCCACTCACCTCCCTCTTCAGCGATAGACGGTTGGGCAGCTCTCCGCTGTTGAGGGGAAGGTGAAACGTAAACATCCCTTTGTTGTGACTCGCTTATCTGCTGACAAGGCTGTATGGAAACCTCCAGAGCCTTCGCTCAGCTTATCCCAGTCTGATGACCAAATCAGCTCTCCTGACAGTTTTGGCCTTGCTCCCAGCCGGGGAGTTTGCAAGAATTTCTTCTCCACTGTCTGTTTAGCTGCAGTCCCCCTTCCTGGGGAAGTTGCTGCCTCTGCCGCTTCCCCTCCTGGGGAAGCTGCGGTGGGAGGGGTGCCGGCCTCAGGCATTTCTTTCTCTTCCATGGCGAGACCTTCCCCAAATCTTTGTCAGACTATCCCCGTTAGTTTAGGGATAGCGACTGGAGTTTGGGACCCCTTAATTGGTTTGAAAAGTTTGTGGTTTTTGGCTTGATGACATGGTTCCGAAAAGAAGCAGCTTTTCAAAGAACTTTGAGGCTTATTTACCTTAAAGAATTTTTTTTATTTCTGCATAACTTCGGCACACACGAAAGTTAAGCCAAAAACTGAATCACCCGTAACAAAGCATAATTCACTGCCTCCTTCCACAATCATCAATCACATTCTCCAATTAAAGTGAAGTGTGAGATGCCCCTCCCGTTGCAGCTGACCTTGGCATACTGTGCTGAGATATTTGCCCATCCACTACTGGCATTATTTGCTTTAACTCTATAAATGCTACACAGGCTAAATAAAACAGGCTTGCTTCTTCATATATGGCAAGCAAGAACATCCAATGTTAGCAGTCTTGACAATTGGTTCATTCCACAGGTAATTTGATAATGGATTTTCCCCTCTTCTTCTGCATAAGCATCACATGTTGGCATAGGACCTCCAAGCCGTGTGGCTAGGAGACATGAGGCTGGATGAACAAAGGCATTCCAAACTGGGCACGTAGCCAGTTATATCCTGAGAAGAGCTCGAAGGCTCCTCCTACTACTGACCTGTTAACATGAGATAGCTAACTAGCTAAAACTATATTTCCCATAAGCCATCTCTTAAGGAGACAGCACTTAACCCAATAAATGCCAAACATGAACAAGCCTTTTTTCCATTTTCCTTTTCTCTCCTTTTACAAGTCTACTCCTGACACGTTTGAGTAAACAGATTCAGACCACAATTCAGATAGTCAATTTCTCACCTACAGTTTCAATGGGAGATCACAAATGAATTTCAAGCCTTTTCTAAATTCTTCAACTTTTGCCTCATGTGGATTTTCTTGTGTGCAATAAGGGATGATTTATGAGTAAAGTAACGTTCACAGACTGGACATTTGAAAGATTTCTCCCCTGTGTGAGTCCTCTGGTGTTTCACAAGGCTGGAATTCTCACTGAAACTTTTCCGACAATGAAGACATTCAAAGGGTTTCTCTCCTGTGTGAGTCCTCTGGTGTTTCACCAGGGTGGACTTCTGACTGAAACCTTTCCCACAATCAGGACATTCAAAGGGTTTCTCTCCTGTGTGAGTCCTCTGGTGTGTCACAAGACTGGAATTCTGACTGAAACTTTTCCCACAATCAGAACATTGGAAGTGTTTCTCTCCTGTGTGAGTCCTCTGGTGTGTCACCAGGTTGGACTTTAGACTGAAGCTTTTCCCACAATCAGGACATTCAAAGGGTTTCTCTCCTGTGTGAGTCCTCTGGTGTCTCACCAGTTGGGAATTCTCACTGAAACTTTTTCCACAGATAGGACATTCAAAGAGTTTCTCTCCTGTGTGAATCTTCTGGTGTGTCACCAAGTACCACTTGTGATAGAAACCTTTCCCACAATCTGGACATTTAAAGGGTTTCTCTCCTGTGTGAGTCCTCTGGTGTGACACCAGGTTGGACTTGTGATTGAAACCTTTCCCACAATCAGTACATTCAAAGGGTTTCTCTCCTATGTGAGTCCTCTGGTGTGATACTAGGTGGGAATTCTCACTGAAGCTTTTTCCACAGATAGGACATTCAAATGGTTTCTCTCCTGTGTGAGTCCTCTGGTGGGTCACCAGGCTGGAATTGTAATAGAATCCATTCCCACAGATAGGACATTCAAAGGGTTTCTCTCCTGTGTGAGTCCTCTGGTGTATCAGTAGGTTGGACTTGCAACTGAAACGTTTCCCACAATCAGGACATTCAAAGGGTTTCTCTCCTGTGTGAGTCCTCTGGTGTCTCACCAGGTTGGATTTGTCACTGAAACCTTTCCCACAGATAGGACATTCAAAGGGTTTCTCTCCTGTGTGAGTCCTCTGGTGTGTCACAAAGCTGGACTTGTCATTGAACCTTTTCCCACAATCAGGACATTCAAAGGGTTTCTCTCCTGTGTGAATCCTCTGGTGTTTCACAAGGCTGGACCTCTGACTGAAACCTTTCCCACAATCAGGACATTCAAAGGGTTTCTCTCCTGTGTGAGTCCTCTGGTGTTTCACAAGGGTGGACTTGTCATTGAAACTTTTCTCACAATCTGGACATTCAAAGGGTTTCTCTCCTGTGTGAGTCCTCTGGTGTCTCATGACATGGGAATTTCTAATGAAATATTTACACAATCAGTACAGTCATAGGTTTTCTCCCTGCTGTGAATCCTCTGATGTATCACCACATTGCCATGCTCACTAAAGCTTTTACTGCACTAGGAGTGCTTTTATGGCTTTTCTCTTGTGTGGCTCCTCTTGTGCAATCAGTTGTGATTTGCAATCTGTGCTTTTCCAACAAGAGACACATGTACAGAGTTTTCCACAGCTGATATTCTTGAGGAAGTCAAAAATATGGACAATCCCTTGTTTAGTGGAGCCTTCATTCAAGCCGTTTTCTTCCTCAAAGGGCGAGGCCTGCGTGACTTTCCTACTTACCTTTTCCTTCAACTGACTTCCGCATATTTCCCTCTTTTACTGAATGAAAAATAATCTCCCTTCATTTTTCATGTAATGTATCCTTGAGTTCTGAATAATCTACTTATTCCAATTTGAAATCTTTCTTGATTTTCTATTTTTTTCTAAGAGCGGCTGGAGGAGAGGGAGAATTGTGTGGTTTTCTGAAGGAAATGGAAAATATTTTGATTTCTGGCTCAGTTTGCTTTCCTTTTCAATGTTGCTTGTTATTCTTAGCTGTCCAGAGTCCTTTTATTGCCATCCTCTTTGTCTATAAGATTCAAAGAAAAGTGTAATTAAATGGTTAGAGATGTGAAAAAAAAAGAAAAATAAATACATTACAATGAAAAAGCAAACATGCCACAATACTAGAATAACCTTTAATTGATGGAAAACAGAATAACAGAGTTGTAAGGGACCTTGAAAGAAGAAGGAAGAATTATAATGGTGGAAATGATGATAAATAAAAAAGATATTGATAATAGCAATATATGCACCAAACAATAAACACAGGAAAATATTGGAAATGGAATATCAAAATATTTGTTTAGTAGGAGGCTTTAACGCAATTGTGAATGAAAAATTAGATTACAAAAGTAGTAAAATAGGAAAAAAAGGAAGAACGAGGAAGAAAGAGATTAAAATAAAAAATAAAAAGGACAAGTATAGAAAGTGGAAAGAGGGGCACATAACTAAGTCAGAATATCAACAAATAGCCCAAGCCTGCAAAGATGAAGTCAGGAAAGCTAAGGCTCATAATGAACTAAGGCTTGCAACCAAAGTCAAAAATAACAAAAAAAGCTTCTTTCAACATGTAAAAAACAAGAAAAAAGTGAAGGAAACGATTGGTCCATGGATGAAAGTGGCAAGAAGGTGACAAGCAATAGGGAGAAAGCAGAACTATTTAACGAGTTAAAGGGAAAAAACAGAGCAACCTATCAACAATACTGCCATAAAAACAGTATAGAAAGACAAGTTAAGATAGGCAAGAAAATGGTGAGAATTCTAGGACAGTGACGGCGAATCTTTTAGAGACCGAATGCCCAAACTGCAACCCAAAACCCACTTATTTATCTCTGGGTGCCAGGTGGGCATGGGCCGCTGGATGGACGTGGCTGTGGTGGTCATGGTGGTCATGGCAGACTGGGTGGCCAAGGTGGGCGTGATCACCTCAATGTTGCTGTGGAAGCCAGGCAGAGTTGGGGGAGATCCAGGGGGTCCTGGCAGGTTGGGCGGTGGGCAGGAGGCTCATCCTGCGGGGTAAGGTGAGACAAGGTGAGGTGAGGCAGGGTGGGGGTGCCATTATCAGAGGGCAAGATGAGGCAGGGGCTGGGGTGGCTGCTGCTGTATGATTAAATGAGCCCAGAATATTCAGGAACCGATTTCATTGGATTTATGGGAGGTAATTTGGACCAGAAATGTTAAATTTACGCAGGCCCAAAATATGAGGGAAAATTTTTATAAAATGTTTTATAGATGGCATCTGGATCCTAAAAAGTTGTCGTGTATGTACCCGAACCTGCAACCTAAATGTTGGAGATGTGGTTGCTTGGATGCAACCTATTTTCATGCTTGGTGGACTTGTAAAGATATTAAAGCCTTCTGGATTATGATTTGCTGGAACATTCAAAAGGTTTTTAAAAGGAAGATTAAGTTTACTCCCCAACTGTTCCTTTTGGGTATTTTTGTGGATTTTAATGTTAAAGAAAATATTTTATTGTTGAATTTAATAACAGCAGCAAGATTATTGGTGGGTCAATATTGGAAGAAGGATATTCTGCCTTCTTTAGAATAATGGGTATTTAAGGTTTCTAATTTAGCAGAAATGGCTAAAATTTCTGCTTATTTAAAGGACCATTCACAAGAGAGATATTTTAATGTATGGAGAAGATGGATAGAATATGTTCAGAAGAAGTATGGAACTACAAAGTTTCATTTATTTTATGAGTAATGAATTTGTTTATAAATTTATGATGTTAAAGTTTGAAGAGAGTTAAGGGTTAATATGATTTTGTTCATTGTATAATTAGTAAACTTAAATAGATTATGTTTAATATGTTTGTATAATCCTGTACTTTGCTCTGGGAAGTTGGGGGGAGGGGGGAGGGGGTGGGGGGTGAATGGGTCGAAGTTTAAGTAGTTCAGATAAAGTAGAAATAGTTTTAAATAGTATATAATATTAATGTTTCAATTTGGAGAGAGGAATTGCTCGGGCATTTCCCCTGGACCGCATCTGGAGCGAGAAGGTAGAAGAAGGTGAGAAGTAAGTAGGAAGGTGGAAGAGAGGTGGAGAGTGAGGAAGAGGAAGAAGAGGGAAAGAGGCAAGTTGGTTGGGGGTGGATGCGGTTTGGGGGGAAATGGCTGGGCAATACCGAAAGTGGTGTGTATCAATTTGTTTTATTTTTTATCTGAAGTATTTTTAAAATTGTAATGTATCGTAAAATTGAAAATAAAAACTTTACAAAAAAAAAAAGACAAATGGAGATAATTAAACATAAACTAAACTAAATTAAACTATATCATAAACCTAATAAAGTAAGAAGAGTTGGCTCAACAAATCAGAAGAACAAAATTTTTTTTCGAAAATGCAAATAAACCGGGAAGATGGCTGGCTTACAAATTGAAAAAAGAGAGAGAGAAAAAGTTGATAAACAAATTGCAAGATGTGAAGGGAGATGTGCAACTTCAAAATAAGACAATAAAAAATAGTTAAAGAATATAATGAAAAACTATATGATATAGAAAAAAAATCTCTCTGGAAAAAAAACAACACAATATATGGAAAAAGCCAATGTACCAAAAATTCTAGAAAACTTTAAAAACAGGCTAAATGAAAAAATAACAATAATGGAACTGATGGAAGCTATAAAAAGAGAAAAAAAGTATAAAACTGCAGGACCGGATGGACTACCTGCAGAGTTCTATAAATGCTATCAAGATACATTAATTCAGACAATATATCATAAGCAAACAGCAAAAGTAATTGTAAATGGGGACTATACAGGGAATTTTAACATAAAGAAAGGCACAAGACAAGGATATCCATTATCCCCATTGCTATTTATATTGACATTGGAAGTTTTCAACAGGAACATCAGACAAGACCCAGAAATTAAAGGAATGGAGATAAAAGACGAAAAGTATAAATTACAAGCATTTGCAGATGATTTGGTGTTTATCACAGAAGAAACACTGGAGATAACCACTAAATTAGGGGTGTCAAATGACCAGCCTGCGGGCTGGACGTGTAACCCAGAAGCCGCCCCATTGCCGGCAATGGCAAAACAATCCCGATACGTCATGTGATGTCGCGAGTTTGACATGTCTGCCCTAAACTATTGAAAAGGATTGAGTTATTTAAGTAGCAGAATTGAAGATATAGAGAAAAAACAAAAGTTATAGTTAAAAAGCTTACATCTAAGCAATGAGAACAATTGTCAGAAAAAATGGATTTTCAAATAGTTAGGAAAGTTAAATATTTGGGAATATACCGAACAGCAAGATGTGCAATGATAAAAGATAACTACATAACATTACTTAATCAAATAAAATAAGATCTAGAAAAATGGAAAAACTTACAACTATCAGTGTTAGGAAGAACAGCTACTATGAAAATGAAGAGTTTACCAAAACTGCTCTTCTTGTTCCAAACAGCACCTATAAAAATAGAGAATTGAAATTAAATGAATTAAATTAAATTAATGAAAATTAAAATCTAAACAAGAGCTTGTAGACCAGGGTACTGAATTATTATCATGGTGGTCTCAATTGCAAATGCAATCGAGCTATGATAAAGATGCAAAAATGTATGGTTTTTATAAAGAACAGACAATGTTTGATCAGATACTGTTGACCTCTGATAAAAAACTGATCAAGAAATGGCAAAATCTTTGGGAAAGAAATTATAAATTCACCTTGACAACTTCCTATAAAGAAAACTGATATAAAATGTTCTATAGATGGCATTTACCACCTGCTAGATTAGCAAAAATGTTTAAAAATAGGTCCAGTAAATGTTGCAAATGTAATCAAACACCTGGCCTGTATTACGATATATGGTGGCCTTGTGTTAAAGAAAAAAAAAATTGGGCCAAAAGACACAGTTGGTTAGAAAAGATGTTAGGGAAACATGTAGATTTTAAACCTGCACTCTTTTAATTAGGTATAATATCAGAAAATTTTAATAAGCCAAGTGTATATTTAACATTGCATAGATTAACAGCTGAACTTAAATGGACTCCAGAAGATGGTAGAGGACAGGAAGACCTGGAGGAACGTTGTCCATGGGGTCGCGATGGGTCGGACACGATTTCGCAATTAACAACAGATTAACAGCAGCAGGGATTGTATTTGCTCAGCACTGGAAGAATGAAGAAACACCACTAGACAAAGAGATAATCAAGAAGATATTGGACTGTGCTAAAATGGACAGACTTATGTTGAGGATCAAAGAAAGAAGATACAGAATATTTTCAAACATGGAATTTATTTAATCAATGGTTGGAGAAAAGGGGTAGACACTAAGAATGTAACTTGTATTAAGCAAACAAATTGGCCCAGACAACACGATTTTTATTAAGGACTAATCAAATGTAATAATAGAAAATTAGAGTTGGAAGGGACCTAGGAAGTTTTCTAGTCCAACCCCCTGCTCAGGCAGAGGACTCTATTACTATTCCTGACAAATGGCTGTCCAGTCTCCTCTTAAAAACCTCCAGTGATGCAGCACCCACAACCTCTGGAGGGAAGCCATTCCCAAAGAATCAACCTTCACTTGAAGGAGACTTTTTTTTTTTTTTAATTAAAAGTTTTATAAATTTTACAAAAAAGAAAAAAGAATACAAAACAAGAGACAACATATGCAAAAAAATAAAACTAAACAATACATATATAAGAAAAACCCCCCATCCCCCACCCCTCCCAAAAAAAAAAAAAAACAAAAACCCTCCCTTCCCCCCCCCCTGAGCTTCCCAGAGCAGAATATAGGCTTAAGAAATAAAAATAAAAATTAAATTAAGAACTTTATATTTATATATATAAAAAATTATCTATAATATATATAAAAATAAAACTTATGAAAAAACTATATAATATTTTTGTATACCCAATCTAAATTGTATAAATTTTATCCATTTATCCCAAACAGCAAAAAACTTCTCTTGCGTTTGTTGCTTTAAGAAAGCCGAAATCTTTGCCATTTCCGCCAAATGAGCTACTTTAAGAAACCATTCCTGCAATGTAGGCAAAGATTCTTGAAGGAGACTTTTGAAATCTTCCCACCAGCAGAAAATCGCAGCCCCCAGTTTAACAGCCTGCAGCACCAGAGGACTTAAAAGTTGGGGAGGGAAGGAAAATGCAGCGGCAGCAAATGAGATGCTTCAACCGAGTTGCTTCTCTGCTTAGACGCCCTGGAGGAAACCAAACAGCCCCGCTTGCTCCCGGCTTCTCCTCCGAGCTGCCCTCTACTCACCTTCCAGCTGCTGCTTCTACCCTGGAAAGAGCACAAAAGCCCCTTTGCACACCAACCTCCTCCCATGAGTGATCCGGAAGAGGAACTTCTGCTGCTCAAAAGGTCCTTTTTCAAGAGACAACTGAGCTTTCTTTCTTCTACTCTTCCCGTCGCCTCCCCTCCTTTCTAGCAATATAGTACTCGATGGTTTTAAATTCCTTTAAAGTCAACCACAGATGCCGCCCACTGTGTTGTCCGCTTTCTAGGCACAGATGTTGACTCCGGGAAGATGTTGAAAAACACGCTTGTCTCGTCTCTGCCTAAGGCGTTTACACGATTTACTCCCTGATTAAAAGCTATCAAGTAGTTTTTGACTACTAACAACTAACCTTTGCAACTGAGCCAAGTGAAATAGTGAAATGTGATGCTGGTTAGCTTGTGAAGATTAGCTGTGTGCTGAGCCTAAAAGTTCATGACGGTTTTACAGAACTACACAGTTTTTCTGGAGATCAAAACCTCTCTACACCCGAAATCTTTATGACTTATTTAATGTGGCTCCCAAGGTTTTAGGACATAGCAGTAACATCAGGCCAGATGCTCCAGGGGAGCCAACTTCACTCCTGCTGGCCAGGCTGCATCCAAGAGCACCCAGCATACCATTCCCGAAGGAGGACAACCTATATATGCTAAATGCCATGCACTTCTGTCAATTTCCTTGCACAGAACTCTCCATTAGGTCACAGAGAGAAAAATATGCAGGGCCTCGAAAATGGGGGCTAAGACATGTGCAGAAATGGACAGGCTTACAATGATATTGAAGGACAAATGTGGATCAGTTTATTTCGAAACCTGGGATAAATTTTACCGCTGGAGGGATTCAAAGAGGACGGTTGGGATTAAAGACTAATGCTAAGATAGAAATATATGTTACTTTAGAATAAGTATTGTATATAAAACTTAGATGTATATTTAGAAAAAGAAAAGAAAAAGGAAAATGGGAGCTAAGAAAGAGGGGGCGATTGTGAATATATGGTAGAAGATACATTTTAAAAAAGAAAACAGAAGGGAAGAAAAAGCACATGGCCAACTGATCACCAGGCTAACCTTTTTAGAGGGACACCCTGCACTGCTGTTTTTAATGTACATCTCTTAGGTTTTGGATGGGGACAGTGGCCATTTCAGCTATTGGATCTGAGCTCTGTTGCATGGAGGAATCTGGAATAAAAGAACCGCAAGGTATATTTTATTGATTCCCTTTTTATTCAGTAACTCAAGATGGCATACAAAGCACTTCCTGTTTAACGTGCTGTAATTTACAAGGTAAAATATGTGGTCTTCTAGTCCATCCCCCTGCTCAAGTAGGAGAATCTATACCATTTCAGACAAGTGACTGTCTAGTCTCTTAAAAATCGCGTGATGGAGCGCCCATGATTTCTGGAGACAAGCTGTTCCACTGGTTGATTGTCCTCACTGTCATGAAGTTTCTCCTTAATTCCAGATTGCTTCTCTCTTTGATCAGTTTCTTGTCCTGCCCTCTGGTGCTTTGGTGACTAATGTGAGCCCCTCTGCCTTGTGGCAGCCCCTCAAATGCTGGAATACCACTGTCATGTCTCCCCTCTTTCTTCTTTTCTTTAGACTAGCCAAGCCCAAGTCCTGTAGCCGTTCTTTATATGTTTTAGTCTCCATGCCTTTGATCATCTTAGTTGCTCTTCTCTGAATTTTTTCCAAAGTCTCAACATCTTTTTTATGATATGGTGAGCAAAACTGGCTGCAGTATTCCAGGTGTGGTCTTACTAGGGCTTTGTAAAGTGGTACTAGTATTTTGCGTGATCTTGATTCTATGCCTAGCAAGGTGTCAAAAACTTGATGACCAAAAAAAAACCAAAGTTGCAATTGCACTGAAATGACATGATCATTTTTCACACTTATGATCATTGCAGCATCCCCAGGTCATGTGATTTATATTTGGATGTTTGGGAACTGATTAATATTTATGATGGTCACAGGACCCCAGAGTCATGTGATTCTCTTTTGCAACCTTTTGCTCAAGTCTATCAGGATCCCTTTGGATCTTGAGCCTATCTATTTATGAAGATATCAAAGTGTACTGGGCCCAAGACTGATTTTTGAGATACCCCACTGAATCCTTCCCTCCATGTAGATGTAGTTCCACTGAGGAATAGCCACTGAATGCGGTTGGTCAGTTAATGCGAATCCTCTTGGTGGTGATACTATCCCGTTGTTCTATGTTACCAAGAAGTAAGTTCTGAGCCACTTTGTCAAATGCCTTGCTGAAGTCCAAGTCTACTATCTCCACAGTATTTCGCTGATACATTAATGTAATTGTTTTATCAAAAAGGTAGTAAGTTTTGTCTGGCCTGATCTGTTTTTAACAAACCCATTCTGGCTTCAGTTACAGATGCCCATCATTTTGTTTCTTCAGAGACATTATTGGAAACAGAAATTTTCTTTAATTAAATCAGTTGGGAAATTCTCATTCTTTTAAAAGGAGAAATAAAACCAGGGGGCACAGCCAGAACAACCAAGAGGGGGTCACAGGAACCTTCAAATACCCCAAGGGCCATACTCAGGACCAGCTTTCAGACAGCCAAATTCTTCTTATGTTAAAGGAATTCATTTCCAGATGTTTCAAAAGATTTGTGTCTAACTCACTTTCTCCATCCATGGGGACTTCAACTTTCCCAGTATCTGTCGGATCTGGTTCAGAATTGGGAGAATCATCAGGGAAGTCAGAGAGATGCTCTCTAATTCTATAATTTTCAAAGGCTAGACCCAAAGGTTGTTTAGAGTTTGTAAAGTTACAAGGGAAATCATAGCTTAGTTGTCCAGTTTGAAATGTCCTAATTTTATCTCTAAGACTGGTAGTGATGAAGAAGACCATCCCTGAATCTGAGAATGCAAATCAAAACAGATCAAGTTTAGTCATTTTGATTTTTAACTGTACATAAAGAAATATTGTACTTTCACAGAATTTAGAACGGGGGCAGATATCAAGGCAACAAATAAATTAAGAGGTAGAAGTCTAACTGCAGTTAGAATGGCTAAACTTCATCTGTTCTCATTGGCGCTTTTCTCAGATTCAGGGATGGTCTTCTTCATCACTGCCAGTCTGAGAGATGGAAATTAGGACATTTCAAGCAAGGCAAATAAGCTAGAGTTTACCTTGTAACTTTACAACCTCTGTACATTTTTTTCTTATGTTAAGTTAGCAAAACAGAGAGGATTGTCCCTCTTCTGCGTGAGTGTGACAAAATGGCAGCCATTTCCACAAGTCCACCGCATGGCCTTGGGACGAATCCAGGGCCCATTGAAAATGACAGCTGCTTCCTGGAGATAGTCTTGAGGCCCAGGGATGTGTGCCCACACCTCCTTCCCCAATATGAGGTTCACAGATGAGGAGGGTGGCATGAGGCCTGGTGGGGTGGGAGTCAGGCCTAAGGACTGCAGGGACGCAGTGGGAGTGGGAAAAAGGCTGTAGGGACCCGGGGGGGGGGGAAGGGAAAGAACTGGGGGGGACGCTGTGGGGGAAAGAAGGGCCAGGGAGACCCAAGGATTTGGAAACAGCACAGGTTATCTCGGAGCGTGGGGGAGGCCTAGGGATGCCTGAGGCAGACAAGCCCGGTCCTGTGCTAGGCCTCCAAGAGCTTCCCACAACCCTGAGATAGCTAGTGTTCCACTTAGTGACTCACACATTTGATTAATGGCTGCATCAGGGAAGTTAAGTAAAGCAGTTTCACTTAACAGCCGTTGCAGCATGCAACCATAATTGGCAGGCCATGACAGTTGTATCTTGAGGACTACTTGTATGTTGGCTGAGGAATTCTGGGCCCCAAAATCTGGAGAAAACCAAGGCAGAAGACTGAAACTCCACATGTGGGAATTATATAATCAATATACAAAACTACCACCCAGAAGCCTTTTTGAGGAATTCCACTACTTCTGCAAAAGGAAATATCCAGCAACTGCTGCTGATAACAAGAAATTGGTAGTTAGCCTTTTCCCAATTTTCTTTTCTATCCACCTACAAGTGTAATTCTGAGACATGTTTCACTAGAAAGAATCAGGCCAGAATTCAAAGTCAATTTCTCACCTACATTTTCAATGGGAGATCACAAATTAAATTATGCCTTTTCGGAACTCTTCAACTTTTGCTTCATGTCAGTTTCCTCATATGCAATAAGGGATGATTTATGAGTGAAGTAATGTCCACAGATTGGATATTTGAAAAGTTTCTCCCGCATGTAAGTCCTCTGGTGTTTCACTAGATTGGATTTCTGACTGAAACTTTTCCAACAATCCTGACACTGACACAATTTCTCTCCTATGTGAGTCCTCTGGTGTTTCAACAGGTTAGAATTCAAACTGAAACTTTTCCAACAATCTGATACAATTTCTCTGTGTGAATTCTCTGATGTATCACCAGGCTGGAATTACAACTGAAACTTTTCCCATAATCAGGACATTCAAAGGATTTCTCTCTGTGTGAGTATTCTGGTGTGTCACCAGGCTGGACTTCTGACTGAAACTTTTCTCACAGACAGGACATTCAAAGGGTTTCTCTCCTGTGTGAGTACTCTGGTGATTCACGAGGGTGGACTTATGACTGAAACTTTCCCCACAATCAGGACATTCAAAGGGTTTCTCTCCTGTGTGAATCCTCTGGTGTGTCACCAGAGAGGAATTATGACTGAAACTTTTCCCACAATCAGGACATTCAAAGGGTTTCTCCCCTGTGTGAATCCTCTGGTGTTTCACCAGGGTAGATTTCAAACTGAATTTTTTCCCACAGTCAGGACATTCAAAGGGTTTCTCTCCTGTGTGAGTCCTTTGGTGTACCACCAGGCTGGAATTCTGAATGAAACTTTTCCCACAATCAGGACATTCAAAGGGTTTCTCTCCTGTGTGAGTTCTCTGATGTATCACCAGGCTGGAATTATAACTGAAACTTTTCCCACAATCAGGACATTCAAAGGGTTTCTCTCCTGTGTGAGTCCTCTGGTGTATCACCAAGTGGGAATTCTGTCTGAAACATTTCCCACAATCTGAACACTGATATGGTTTCTCTCCTGTGTGAGTCCTCTGATGTCTCACCAGGGAGGAATTGAGAGTGAAACTTTTCCCACAATCCAGACACTGGTATGGTTTCTCTCCCGTGTGACTCCTCTGGTGTATCACCAGCTTGAATTTCTCACTGAAACTTTTCCAACAATCAGGACATTCAAACGGTTTCTCTCCTATGTGAGTATTCTGATGTGTCACTAGGCTGGACTTCTGACTGAAACCTTTCCCACAGATAGGACATTCAAAGGGTTTCTCTCCTCTGTGAGTCCTCTGATGTCTCATGAGGTTGTAATTCTGATTGAAACGTTTGCCACAAACAGGGCACTCATACACGTTCTCTCCTGTGTGAGTCCTCTGGTGTCTCATGAAATGGGAATTCTTACTGAAACATTTCCCACAAAGACAACATTCAAAGGATTTCTCTCCTGTGTGAGTCCTCTGGTTTCTCATCATGTGGCAATTTCTTTTCCCACAATTTGGACACTCATACAGTTTATCCCTGGAGGGAATCCACTGATGTATCTCCAGACTGGAATTCTCACTGAAACTTTTCCCAGTCAGGACATTCAGAGGGTTTCTATCCTGTATTGACTCCTGTGGTGTCTCATGACTTGGGAATTTCTAATGAAACTTTCACATAATCAGGACATTCAAAGGATTTCTCTCCTGTGTGAGTCCTCTGGTTACTCTCTGATGTGAGCCTTTCCATGAACCACAAGGGAGCTGTTGTGACTAAAGCTTTCAATACATGTGGATAATTATTGTTTTTCTCCAGTGTGGATGCTATCATGCATAATCTGTGATTTACTACCTGTGCTTTTCCAACAATAGACACAACTACAGAGCTTTTCCAAGCTGATATTTTTGAGGAGGTAAAAAATATGGACAATCCCTTGTTTAGTGGTGCTTTCATTCAAGCCGTTTTCTTCCTCACAGGGCGAGGCCTGCATGGCTCTCTGCTCTACGGGATTTTCCTACTGACCTTTTCTTCCAGCTGACTTCCGCATATTTCCCTCTTTTACTGAATGAAAAATAATCTCCCTTCACTTTTCATGTAAGGTATCCTTGAGTTCTGAATCATCTACTTATTCTAGTGTGAAATCTTTCTTTTTCTCTCTCTCTTTTGTCTAACCGCTGCTGCAGGAGGAGAATTTTGTGGTTTTCTGAAGGAAATGGAAAATATTTTGATTTCTGGCTCAGTTTGCTTTCCTTTTCCAATGTTGCTTGTTACTCTTAGCTGTCCAGAGTCCTTTTATTGCCATCCTCTTTGTCTATAAGATTCAAAGAAAAGTGTAATTAAATGGTTAGAGATGTGAAAAAAAAAGAAAAATAAATACATTACAATGAAAAAGCAAACATGCCACAATACTAGAATAACCTCGTACATTAATTATGATTCATTTGATACATGGAAGATTACACACATCCAAATTCAGATATCCGTTCAATCATGAAATTCTTTTGTTGACTTGGATCAATCACAAATTCTTAGCAATACAAAGGGTTATCATCAAATATATCTGGAAGTGCTGGGAATAGATTTTATAATTGCAGATTTACGCATACAGAGAGAAATACAAACACACACATACACACAAATGTGTATATGGAGAAAACCTATGTCTTTCAAGCTTGGAAAAATCTCCCAAAATGGTTAAAATCAAAGCTTTTGAGCTAATTTTAGAGATGTGGGGGCTTTAACTGATGAATAACAGAATAATAGAGTTGGAAGGGATCTAAGAGGTCTTCTAGTCCAACTCCCTGCTCAGGTGGGGAACTCTATACCATTTCAGAAAAACAGTTGTCCAAACTCTTAACAACATTCAGTGATGGAACATCCATTTCTTTTGTCTAACTGTCAAGAAATTTCTCTTTAGCTCTAAGTTGGTCCTGTCCTTGATAGGTTTCTAGCCATTGCTTCTTGTCTTGCCTTCAGGTGCTTTGCAAAATTGGTTGACCCTCTCCTCTTTGTGGCTGACCCTCAAATATTGGAACGCTGCTATCATGTCATCCCTAGTCTTTCTTTTAATTAAACTAGACATAACCCATTCCTGCATCCGTTCTTTATATGCTTTATACAGTAGTGGCCAAAATTGTGGAAACCTTTTGAGAAAAGTGTACATATACTGATCCAAATTCAAAAGTGTTATATTTCAAATCCAGTCAGATAGTTAACTCAAAAGAAACGATCTTATAACAAACAAATATATTTTAATGAGAAAGATTACTTGCGTTCATGTTGAGATTGGTGCTGCTGGGAATACATTGGTTGTTCATCTTTCAGATCTTTTCCTTAGGTAAGAAGATTTTGCTCTTTATACCACCTTATAAGGAAACCTTCCATGGCCCATGCTTCTTACAGACAAAGAGGTTCCCATGTGGCTTGTGTCCAGGAAGTCTCCCAAAGACCTTTGGAACTCCTCCCACTGACCCATCCACATACCTAGCATTTAACCCAATAACTGCCAGACCTTCCAACATAGAGCTGGGTCATAGAGCTATATGGGTCATAGAGCTCTATGGGCCAGAACACTCCCCGCTTGGAAATTTATATTTCCACTATTAAAATAGTAAAAACGTAGCATCAAGGCATGCAATACTCATTGTGGTTAACTTGTGACTAACTAGGTAAAAACTTGGTATCAAACATGCATAATTATGAAAAAGGCAAGTGTTACATCAAACAATGCATAAGGCAATACATAATTTGAGGTTTAATCTTCTGGTTCAGTCTTCATCGGCGATGGACCAGTTCGGTGATCAGCCTGGTACAAGTATCTTTGAGTCACGACCAGACTCACATGGCTTCACGATCTGGATCTCAGCTGGGTAAACCAGTTCATCAAGTGGGTGGGCCCGGTGCGCAGTCTTGTCTCCCAATGAGACAAGGCCTTCTTCCTGTGCAGGAAACTGGAACCAAATCTGGAACAGAAAAAACTGGAACCCAAGCTTCTCGGGAATGAGGGGAACTGGATTCACAGGATACTCAGGAACTGAAAAACCTGGAAAGACATAAACAGCTGGATCTGGAAACTCAGGAACAGCTGGGGCTGAAGAATCAAGATCAGGAACATCAGGAAACTCAGGAACAGCTGGAGCTGGAAACTCAGGATTAGGAACATCTGGAAACTCAGGAACAGCCGGAGCTGAAGAATCAGGAGCAACAGCTGGAACTGAAGGGTCAGGAACAGCAGCTGGAAGTGAAGAATCAGGAACAACAGCTTGAGCAGAAGACTCAGGATACTCAAGAACCGAAGGGTCTGGAGCCACCGGTGGAGTACTGAAGAGGGCTGCTACTGTTGTCGTCAGGGTGAGGACTTCATGTGTGGGTGTCAGTGTATTTAATGACATGGAGTCCATGAAAGGCAGTAAGTCTTTGCAGGTTTCTACAAGGCTAATTGGGGTGCTGAGACAAGTGATCAAGATGATCAAAACTATGCCTAACTTCAGTTGTCTGCGCTTAGACAGGGTTTTGAAGTGGATTGGTTGACGTTTACCGGGTGTCTGAGGTTGAAGGTTGGCACTTTGATCTGAAGCTGGAAGTGCATAACGTTTTGGTCTATGTGGCATCTGTCTATTTGGACAGGCCAAGAGCTGAAGACTTTCTAGCCAGATCAGTTCTGTTATCTGTGTGGCAAGGTTGGGCCACTTTACTTGGTTAACAAAGTTCTTATTTGTTGGCACATGTTGCCATTGTTCAGGGCTTAAGGATGTTTCAATCCTTTTCTCTCTGTTGTTTACATGGACGTAGAAGTGTCCACTTTGTTTGCAGATGTAGCTTGACATCACCTTGCTGTCTGCGTAGAAGGTGGTGGACTGTAGTTCAAGGCACAACGTCTTTGCTGTCAAGTTGGTCAGCTTTACAGCCAAAGTGGTGCCATATAGCTGTAACCTTGGTACGGTGTGGCCTTCTTGTGTTGTTAGTCTTGCTTTTCCAAAGAAGACACCAAGACTGCAGCACTCCCCGCTGTAGACTCTGATGCATCTTATGGTTGCAAACAAGATAACGTAAGTGTGGCTCTCCCCGCTGTAGAGTGAGATGTATCTTAAGGCTGCAGACACCTTCGTAGGCACATCTAAGGAAGCGTACAACTCTTTCTTCTGCACTGGGGCAGGTGAGCTGGAGACATACATGCGCTGCACTTGCATGCTTTGGAGACATTTTGGGAGTATGCTCCACGACTCCCAGTCTTGGGGGCGTTGTTTGTCTTGTTTGTCCTTTATGGACAAAGCTAAATTGTAGTAAGTCTTGCTTGTCTGGAACACGGTTGCTTCCAAAACAGGTTTGGTTGTTACAAGCGTGCGATGCTCTAGGTGCAGTTGGAACACTGTTGCTACCAAAACAGGTTTGGTTGTCACAAGCATGCAGTGTTGTTCTAGGCACGGTTGGAACACTGTTGCTACCAAAACAGGTTTGGTTGTCACAAGCATGCAGTGTTGTTCTAGGCGCGGTTGAAACACTGTTGCTACCAAAACAGGTTTGGTTGTCACAAGCTTGCAGTGTTGTTCTAGGCGCGGTTGGAACACTGTTGCTACCAAAACAGGTTTGGTTGTCACAAGCATGCAGTGTTGTAGGTGTGGTTTTATGGGGTTCAATGGGGTAATAACGGTGGAAAGATCTTGTGGCACTCCCCGCTGTGCAGTTGTTGCCATCAGGTTCGATGTGGCAGCAACGGCAGGAGGATCTCGTGACCTAGGTGTCGTGTCATCAACTCTGTGGTTGACCAGCGAATCAGGTTGTTGAGATTCCTCTGTTTGTCTACTCGGTCTTGGGGGGCTTGTGGCTGGCTGAGGTGCTCTCATCTGTGTATTCTGGAGTGCGCTTTGGTTGTCCACATAGGCCTGTACATGGCTGTGAGAACTTTCCCTTCCTAGACTTTCCAAATTGGGCGTTGACATGGCATCTTCTAACTCTCTCTGCAGGATCGCTTCTATTGCGGCTGCCTCTTTTGCTCTCTGTTGTCGCTGGAAAATCTCAAAGTTGGCCTGAGCTTTGGCCAAGTCTTCTCTATGTAGCTTGTCGTCTACTGCTACTTGTGCAGCAACGTTAGCCCTTGCGGTATTGATCTGTACTTCCCTGAGACGGGCGGCGATGCTCTCTGCTCCTGAGGCTTGAGATGTATGGCTCTGGCGAGAAGATGCCTTTGAATGGCGTGAGGGTCCTGTGACGTGCGGTTGTTGGGACATGCTGGAATGTGTCTTGGATATGTGGCGAAAAGATGAGGCTGTTTCAGACACGTGGGATGGATATGCGTGCGACCATTGGGATGGTGCATATGAGTAGCGGGAGACTTTGGACTCGGCTCTGTCAACCAGTCTGCATTTCTGGCGAGGCTTGGGCTGTGGAGAACCCTGTGAGCTCTCTAGAAACTTCTTGCGTTCCTTGTTTAGTGCCTTGAGGTTGTGCATCTTGCTATCGATTCTTGAGTCTCTTAATTGTTCTTGAATGTCCTTGAGTTGCTGTTCAGAGTCCATCCATTGCACATAGGCGTCTTCCTTATCTCCTTCCACTGCGTGTGCCCGTTCTGGGGAGAGTTTCTCCTTCTGTTCGTGGTAGAGTTTGTATAATCTCTCCCAGCTTCTTTCATGGCGCCTGTGGATGGTGTGCCATTTCTCCGCCAGATGTGAATGCATGGCGTCTGTGGGCTGGTTGATGTGTCTCAACTAGGCTGATAGGTTGAACCCCTTCTGCTAGACCAGTAGGATGCTCAGCTATGGCTAGGATAGGTTCAGTGTCCTTCTCAGCTATTTTGAAGAGAATTTGAAGAACTTCTCTCTTTGACCACTAGGGGTCGCTACTTGTAGATCAGCTTCTGAGGTGCTGTCTGTGGGTGGAGATGCCACTGGGTACTTCAGTGCAGTTCACCCCTTCACCACTAGGGGTCACTTGCTGTGGGTCAGCTACCAGGGTGCTTTGGCTTCGAGGTTCACCCTTTGTCCACTAGAGGGGCTTCTCTGGGTGCGGTTAAAGGCTTGTGTGTAGAGCTTCCTTTAACCACTAGGGGGCGTCTGGAGAAAGGCTAGCCAAATTCTTCCTATTACCACGTTACTGCTAGTGAGCCACTGAGAGAATGTAGAGGTACAAACTCCCATCTGGTCATTTGCAGGCTGGGACTCCGGGTCATCAGCTGTGATAATGAGCGAAGAGACTTGGCTCTTGCTTCCTGTCTCTCAAGCTGGGACAGCTTAGCCTTCAGCTTGAGTGAGTGAGTGAGTACTTCTGGTAAGTTCACTCTGTGCCCTCTAGGGGGTGTTAAAAAGGCTAACCAAATTCTTCCTATTACCACGTTACTGCTAGTGAGCCACTGAGAGAATGTAGAGGTACAAACTCCCACGTGGTCAGTTGCAGGCTGGCACTCCGGGTCATCAGCTGTGATAATGAGCGAAGAGACTTGGCTTTGATTTCTCAAGCTGGAACAGCTTAGTGCTCAGCTTGGGTAAGTGAGTGAAAGCTTCTGATAAGATCACTCTGTGCCCTCTGGGGGGTGTTGGTAGCTTGGGATAACTTTAAGTAGCTTGCACTTTAACTAACAGATTTGCTCTGTTGTGTGCTGAATTAATTGTGGCTGTTGTGACTCAGCTAGAAAAAAAAAATTACATGACCACCAGGGGGTGCTTCTGCGATGATTCCTCCTTCTAACATTGGCTGAAATTCCGAGCATACTATGGCAACAGATGAGTTTATTGAAAGGCAATAAACCTTGCTTTTGTTTGAACTTTAGAGGCAGTCATTAAACAGTTCTTTGTTTCAGGCTGCGTGATTCACTGGCAAAGAGGAGAAGGGGAAAAGCCCAAGCTCCTTTTGGTGTTAAAATTCAAACTTTTCATGCAAGAAACAAAGTAATTTTGAATCAGATACAAGGCACTTTTCATTTTGAAAGTTAGCTAGCAAGTGAATTAGCATAACAAAACTTCTGAATTACTCCTTGAGAGCTGTCTTTTACACAGACACGGCTTTGCTTTGCAGGCTCTTACAAGCATCAAGAGAATCTTTACTTGCTTGAAGGTTTATGCAGAGAAAAGGCTGACCAATTTGATTCTCTTTCTTCAAACTGTTGCAGCTTTGAGAGGAGAATTAATCTTTGCTTTCAAAAGATGGCACAAATTATGAGTAAATCTTCTTACTATACTGATCCAAATTCAAAAGTGTTATATTTCAAATCCAGTCAGATAGTTAACTCAAAAGAAACGATCTTATAACAAACAAATATATTTTAATGAGAAAGATTACTTGCGTTCATGTTGAGATTGGTGCTGCTGGGAATACATTGGTTGTTCATCTTTCAGATCTTTTCCTTAGGTAAGAAGATTTTGCTCTTTATACCACCTTATAAGGAAACCTTCCATGGCCCATGCTTCTTACAGACAAAGAGGTTCCCATGTGGCTTGTGTCCAGGAAGTCTCCCAAAGACCTTTGGAACTCCTCCCACTGACCCATCCACATACCTAGCATTTAACCCAATAACTGCCAGACCTTCCAACATAGAGCTGGGTCATAGAGCTCTATGGGTCATAGAGCTCTATGGGCCAGAACAGTACATTTGAGGTTTGATGGCTAATAACACCACTTCTTTTTGGAGTAGTACCATAAACGTATATATCAATGGAAAGATAATTTAATCAAGAATGTAATGCAACAAAGATTGTTCAATTATCTGTATTCTATGAAAGGTTATAGCCATATAACCAGAAAAAGGAAGCACAACTTGCTTTGATTGATATCAGGTAGCATTCCTTCATCTGATTGTAGCCAATGAGGATGAGTGTTTAGAGAGCCAATCAGGTGTCATCTTATTTTGGCAATAAGCCAATCAGATCACAGTAGGATTCAGTTATTGATGTCATGTATTGAAGCTGAGAGGAGGACATTTGTGAATGTGTTATGTGATCTCTATCAAGTTGGTTGTGTGCTTTTTGTGTTTTTTCATTTAGTGAGCTTGCAAAACATAATAAAATTAAAGTAATGGTGCAAAGAGTTGACTGGTCACCCAGAAAGTGATGTAAAATAGTAGTATTAAGTGAACAAGGCTACAGTTATAAAGAAATTAGAAGAAAAATTGGTGGAAACTTAACCAAAGGTGGCATTTCTAAGTTTTTGAAGAGGTATAATGAGACTCAGTCATCACAAAACCACTCTGGTAAAGGCAGGAAAAGGTGCACAACAGCAAGTGATGATAGAAGAATTAAGAGACTGTGCCTACGTGACAGAAGAAAATCATCTGGGTGTATACAAGATGAAATGGCGCAATGCAATATGAAGTTGAGTGCAAGAACTGTTCAGTGCAGACCGCAGGAATTTGGCCTAAAATCTAGAATTCCATGAAAAAAGCCACTTTTATCTCTCAAACAAAGGTTAAAAAGACTAAACTGGGCTAAAAACCATGTTATCTGGACGGAGGAACAATGGGACGTGTTATTTGGAGTGATGAGACCAAGATCTCCCTATTTGTGATGGTGATGGCATAAAATATGCAAGGAGAAGAATCGGAGAAGATTTGCATCCTGATTGCATTACGTGTATCGTGAAACACCCAGTCAGTGTTATGATCTGGGTTGTATGACATCAAAAGGTGTGGGCAGAATTTGTGTGATTAACGGGAATATAAATGGCCAAAAATACATTAATGAAATACTTCAGCCCAAATTGAAGCCTTCCGCACATGATCTTTTCCAAGACAATGAAACATTTATATTTCAACAGGATTCAGCTCCATGTCATGTTGCTGCTGTGTGCAAAAGGTGGTTTCAAGATAATCATATTCCACTACTGGAATGGCCTGGGAATAGCCCAGATCTTAACCCAAATGAAAATCTATGGAGCCGACTAAAGAAACTTGTTAGTCAGAAGCGACCCAGCAATAAAACCCAGTTAATAGAAGCAATCATTCAATCTTGGTTTCACATTATAACAGCTGCAGAACTAAAGGACATGGTTCACTTCATGGGAAGACGTTGTAAGGCCACAATTCATGCTAAAGGTTACCCAACTAAGTATTAACTGACATGGTGATAATTTTTATATATCTCGTTTTTTCTATGTGTTTCACTTTTCTTCTTTATAACTGCTATTCTAATAGCAAATCCTTCATAAAAGTTATTGGATTACACTCTTGATTAAATTATCTTTCCATTGATATATAATTTTATGGTACTACTCCCCCCAAAAGTGGTGTTATTAGCCATTAAACCTCAAATGTAGACTTTTCCCAAAAGTTTTCCATAATTTTGGCCACTACTATAACTGATGAAATGATGCTTAAAGCCTCTGCAAGATTTAAAGCACCAGTTTTGCTCATGGAAGTCCTCAGCTGCAAATAAGAGGAGAAAATACTGTCCACAATTACTCTGGTGATATCCCAAATCAAGCAGTCCTCACTTACTGACTGCAACTGGAAAGGGCATTTATGTCACTAAGCAGCCCGATCATGAAGCATGATGTCACATGAGAATGCCAACTTACATCTGTTCCTCTGCATTTGTAAAGCAAATCCAAGTGGGTTGTTAAAAGCAATTTCACTTGCAACTTCCTGCCGGCATCCCCAGTGATTTTGTCTGTCAAAATCTAGTTGGGAAGGTCACAAACGGGAATCATGAGTGTAAGATACTGCAACCATCATAAATGTGCAACAATTGGCAGAAACCAAATTGGTGCATTTCCTTTTCCGGCACTTTTATAATGATAGGGTCACTGAACAGCTGCTACAATGACCACTAATTTGTTTTAGCAGGCATAAGTCTGCTCTTACAATGCCATTGTAACTTTGAAGGCTCAAGAAACAAGTGATAAGCGATGACTACTTATACCAGCGGTTCTCAACCTGTGGGTCAATAAAACCCAGTTAATAGAAGCAATCATTCAATCTTGGTTTCACATTATAACAGCTGCAGAACTAAAGGACGTGGTTCACTTCATGGGAAGGAAGGCGCGCCGGAGTCCAGGCTGCCAGGAAGGAAGAAGGAGATTCAGCAAAGGTAAGAGAAGAGAGCCACCTGCTGGTGCCCAGTGCTGGTAGCGGCTTCCTTGCCATCCTCTTCCTCTTCTTCTTCCTCCTGCCCCCATGGCGGCTCGGGCAGGCGCCGGGGCAAGAGGGGTGCCTGGGGGCAAGCAGCCAGGCTGGACGAGGGGCTGGCGGGCCGCACGGCACCAGCCCCCACCAGAGCTCCATCGGATGGGCAGAGGGCGAGGTCAGGCAGCGCAGAGGCAGCGGGGATGGCGGCAGCGGTTTTCTCGCCCTTCTCCTTCTTCCTCCTGCTGCCCCCAAGGCGACTCAGGCGGGCACCGGGAAGAAGAGGGGTGCCTGGTGGGGAGCAGCGGGCTGGCAGAGGGGCTGGCGGAGAGGCTAACGGGCTGTGCGGCACCAGCCCCCACCGCGGCTCCATTGATGGACGGAGGACCAGGCCGGGCAGCGCGCGTGGCGGGGACCCCCGATGATGCAGCAGTGGCCGCTACTGGCACTGCTGCCGCCATCCCCGCCGCCCCCGAACTGTCCGGCCTGGTCCTCCATCCATCAAGAGAGCCACGGTGGGGACTGGTGCCGCGCAGCGCGCCGGCCCTTCCGCCAGCCCGCTGCTCTCCCCAGGCACCCCTCATCCTCCTGGCTCCCTCCTGGGGGCAGCAGGAGGAAGGAGAAGGGCAAGAAAACTGCTGCCGCCGCTGCCAGCTGAACTGAGCTGCAGTGCTGAGCCAGTCTCCATGCCTCCTGGTTGCCCGGCCGCACTCCGCCCCGGCCGTCCTCCACACCGCGTGGGAGTCTCCCCCGCGTTGCCCAGCCCGCCTCCCTTGCCGTTGAAGGCCACCTCGGCCCTCTGGTGCCCAGCGCAGCCGTGGGGCTGCCGGGCAAGAGCGGCTCCTTCCCGGCTTGCCAGGCTCCGGGCCTCGGAAGCGGCCAGGAGGCGGGGAAGAGGGCGAGGCGGCGGCGATGCCCACACGTAAGTCGGAGGCCAGCTGGCCGGGCTGGCAATGGGGCTTCAAAATCAAAGGAGAAAACTTGTTTCGGAGCTGTAAGAAAGGATCCCTCTCCCCCACCCCGATCCCTGCCATAAGCAGCACCAGACTTTGGAAAAGCACTGCTCCGGGACTCTTGGCTACAGGGGGCAGGCCAGCGGCGGCTCTGCTCAGATATGGGAGACGAAATAAAAAGGCCGGAAGGGAAGAGAAATCATTCGAGCAGACCCCGCTTTGGATAAGGCTTCGCGGCTCGGAGCATTTCATTTGGAAACATTGGCACCAGTTTTAATCCGGGCGTTTGTGCTTTCTTACCCCTGCGCGCGCGCCTTTGCGTTTTCCCCAATGGTAGCCAAAAAGGGGGGGAAGGGGCAACGGGAAACATCCTTTGACACATCATTTACACTCCCGCCTCCCCAATCAGGCTTATTTGGAAATCGGTCCGACGGACCTAGCTTCCTCAATCAGCCACCAGGGGTTAAAATATCTTTCCCCGTCGAGCGTTATAAAGCACCTTTTCCTTCCTTCCTTCCTTCCATCCATCCATCCATCCATCCATCTCCTTCCCTTCAATCTCTCTTTCCTTCCTTCCTTCCTTCCTTCCTTCCCCCTTCAATCGTCTCCATCTCCTTCCTTTCCCCTTCAACCTTCCTTCCTTCCATCCATCTCCTTCCCTTCCCCTTCAATCTCTCCTTCCTTCCTTCCCTCTCCTTCAATTTCCTTCGTTCTCCATCTTCCTTTCCCCTTCAATCTCCTTCCTTCTCCATCTCCTTTCTTTCCCCTTCAATCTCTCCTTCCTTCCTTCCTTCCTTCCTTCCTTCCTTCCTTCCTTCCTTCCTTCCTTCTCCTTCCTTCCTAACCCCTTCAATCGCCTCCATCTCCTTCCTTTCCCCTTCAATCTCTCCTTCCTTCCTTCCTTCCTTCCTTCCTTCCTTCCTTCCTTCCTTCCTTCCTTCCCTCTCCTTCAATCTCCTTCCTTCTCCACCTTCCTTTCCCCTTCAATCTCCTTCCTTCTCCATCTCCTTTCTTTCCCCTTCAATCTCTCCTTCCTTCCTTCCCCCTTCAATCTCCTTTCTCCATCTCCTTCCTTTCCCATTCAACCTTCCTTCCTTCCATCTATCCATCCATCCATTTCCTTTCCCCTTCAATCTCTCCTTCCTTCCTTCCTTCCTTCCTTCCTTCCTTCCTTCCTTCCTTCCTTCCTTCCTTCCATCTCCATCCCTTCCCCTTCACTTTCTCCTTCCTTCTTCCTTCCCCCTTCAATCTCCTTCCTTCTCCATCTCCTTCCTTTCCCCTTCAATCTCTCCTTCCTTCCTTCCTTCCTTCCTTCCTTCCTTCCTTCCTTCCTTCCTTCCTTTCCCCTTCAATCTTCCTTCCTTCCTTCCATCTCCATCCCTTCCCCTTCAATCACTTTCTCCTTCCTTCCTTGCTTCCTTCCTTCCTTCCTTCCTTCCTTCCTTTCCCCTTCAATCTCCTTCCTTCTCCATCTCCTTCCTTTCCCCTTCAATCTTCCTTCCTTCCTTCCCCTTCCCTCCCAACATTTTTGAGCAAGGAAGAGTAAGCTTCTCCAGCGAGCATTGCTATATTGTTTTTGTGACTAATCGCTATGCTTTAATTATGTTCAATTCGTAGCAATGAAAATACACCCTGCATATCAGATATTTACATTATGATTCATAACAATAGCAAAATTACAGTTATGAAGTAGCAACGAAAATAATTTTATGGTGGGGAGTCATCACAACGTGAGGAACTGTATTAAAGGGTCACAGCATTAGGAAGGTTGAGAACCACTGACTTATACAAACTGAACATGCCAAAAACTCTTCAGTAGCTATTTTTAAAAAGTGCTAGGTTAAGAACGGTTGAACCTGGTTAATACATGGATGGGGCACCAATAGGAAATACCATGTTTATTGGCAGGACATGGAAGTAAAAAAAAAAATCCATTAAAATCAGTGGCACCTTCAGTTCCATCTTGTTGCCAAGAAAACAGAAAGAATAATAGAATTACAGAGTTGGAAGGGACCTTGGAGGTCTTCTAGTCCAATCCCCTGCTCGGACAGGAGACACGATTACCATTCCTAACAAATGGCTGTCCGGTCTCTTCTTAAAAACCTCCAGTGACGCAGCACTCACAACGTCTGAAGGGAAGCCATTCCCAAAGAATCAACCTTCACTTGAAGGAGACTTTTTAAATCTTCCCACCAGCAGAAAATCGCAGCCCCCAGTTTAACAGCCTGCAGCACCAGAGGACTTAAAAGTTGGGGAGGGAAGGGATTGGCAGCTGAGATGCTTCAGCCGAGTTGCTTCTCTGCTTGGACGCCGTGAAGGAAACCAAACAGCCCTGCTTGCTCCCGGCTTCTTCTCCGACCTGCCCTCCACTCACCTTCCAGCTCCTGCTTCTACCCTGGAAAGAGCACAAAAGCCACTTTGCACACCAAATTCCTCCCATGAGTGATCAAGAAGAGCAGGTTCCTCCGCGCTTCTCATCTCTTCCCATCCTTTCTAGCAATACAGTACTCGATGGTTTTAACTCCTTTAAACTCAAACACAGATGCCGCCTGCTGCATTTTCAGCTTTCCAAACACAGTGGTTGCCTACTTGACCGTAGATAGGTGGCAAAAAAAAAAAAACATATTTCGCTCATCTCTACCTAAGCCATTTGCAAGATTTTTTTTCCCTGATTAAAAACTATCAAGTCGTTTTTGACTTCTAGCAATCGATCTTTGCAACTGATCCAAGTGAAATAGTGAAATGTGATGTTACTTAGCTTGTGAAGATTAGCTGTGTGCTGAGCCCTAAAAGTTCATGGCCGTTTCTCAGAATTATAGAATAAACTTTTTAAACGTTGATTCTCAGTGGTGATAAACACCTCTCTACATCCCAAATCTTTATAACCGATTTCCTGCGGCTTCCAAGGATTTAGGCCATGGCAACACCATCAGGCTAGATCCTCCAGGGGAGGCAACTTCTGCTGGCCAGGGCTGCATCCAAGGACACCCAGCATGCCAGCATCATTCCTGAAGGAGGACAGTGTATATCTGCTAAGTGTTAAATGCCATGAACTTCTGTAAATTTTCTTGCACAGAAGTCACAGAAATCATTAAGTCACAGAGAGGGAAAAATAAGAAGCAGGGTCCAGAAAATGTGGGGCTAAGACTAAGGCTAAGACATGGTAGAAGAAATATTTCTAAAATACATTTTTAAAAAGAAAACAAAAGAGAAGAATAGAATATCCCACCAAAGCACATGGCCAACGGATCACCAGGCTAACCTTTTTAGTGGGACACCCTGCACTGCCGTTTTTAATGTACATCTCGAAGATTTTGGATGGCGATAGTGGCCATTTCAGCTATTGGATCTGAGCTCTGTTGCATGGAGGAATCTGGAAAAAAAAGAACTGCAAAGTATATTTTATTGATTCTCTTTTCATTCAGGAACTCAAGATGGCATACAAATATCTGTTGTTTTTCCTCTGAGGTTTATTTATCTATTTTTAAGAACTCCTAAGGACCATATGTCCTGATATGTAAAAACCATGGAACTCTTTTTCATATGATCCTATGAGCGCACATGAATGGGTGGCTCTGCCCAAATGGACCCAGGTGACTTTGTGAGCTGAGCTCAGTAGAAGTAGTGTATACCTTTTTTTAATGAAAATTATCAGCACTTTTGATCAGTGACGTCATCAAAGTAAACAAGCCCACGTGCTGATTACGTCAACAGGGCACAGCCCTAAAAGGAAGTGACGTGCTCAGCCCCCACCCTCCGGATGTGACGTTTTGGCCTAATCCCATCAAGATTGGCAGGCAATCCTCTGGGTACATGATTAGGTTAACCCTAGACTAATTCTATGGACGTTCAAAACCAAAAAGAGCTAAGTAAAGTGAATAATTAGCAGAGGCCTGTGTTTTTGGGGAACAAGCCCTACTTTGGGGAGCTGTTAACCCTAGACTATTTCTATGGACATTCAAAACCAAAAAGAGCTAAGTGAATAATTAGCAGAGGCCTGTGTTTTTGGGAACCAAGCCCTACTTTGGGGAGCTGTTTGTGTTTTTGGGAAACAAGCCCTACTTTGGGGAGCTGTGAAATAAAAAATAAAAAAAGGCTTTTTATTAGCCTAACGATGCTTTGAATTTTTGTGGAGTTTTAAAAATCAGTGCCTCAAAAGCTGGGGGAAAAGAATCCCCTGAAAGGCAGCCAGAGCCTGCATTTAACCCCCTTTTTCTAAAAGATATTTTTTCTGAAAGGTATTTATTTCTAGGTGGCTTTAAAAGCATTTCCTCGAACGCAGGGGAAAAAACAAACAAACACAGCCCCTTTTAAAACCCACAGCTGGTTTTTACCTTTGTAAAAAATCTAAAGACACATATTTTGCCATTTGCACCCTGAATAAAATTTATTCTGCCCCCCTCCCCACTATAGCAAAAGACAAGGAATATTAACAGGAATTAAAATGCTCACAAGAGGCAAGCAGCCAACCAGGCTCACAAGAGGCAAGCAGCAAGCAGCCATGCCTCTCTGTCTGCTAGTAAAAAAAAGTGGGGGTTAGGCCTTGTTTGGGACGTGCCCGGGCATGTCATGCTCCCCGTGATCTGGGCATGCGCAATGCTCAAGGGCGTGTCATTGCAAGGGGCAGGGGAGTTTGCTCCCCGTGATCTGGGCATGCGCAATGCTCAAGGGCGTGTCATTGCAAGGGGCAGGGGAGTTTGCGCGGGCAGGGACATGCCCGGGCATGTCATGCTCCCCGTGATCTGGGCATGCGCAATGCTCAAGGGCGTGTCATTGCAAGGGGCAGGGGAGTTTGTGTGGGCAGGCCTGAACAGCTAGCGATTTAACCCCAGCAGTCTTTTGAAGATGGCAGCCTCTGATGGAGATTTGTTTGATGTAAATTTGACCCCCAAACCACCCAAGCGTGGGCGCAGAATAAGAAAAGGACCTGAGTTATACAGTTTCATTGAAGAGAACAAACTTATAAAACCTTGTTATTGCAGATTCTGCAAAACATCAAATGGTAAGTAAATATATATATATATAATTAAGAAAACAGTATTTTGATTGGTTGAAACAGCTAGCCTAAATCTACCTTATTTCCTGCTTTAGAAACGGCGGAGTCTCAAAATGTCAGCATGCCTCAGATTCTGAAAGCGTGTATTATTAAAATATTACACCACTGTTTAATGGGGTGTCTACAATCAGATGAAGACCACGTGGATGGTACCAGTGAAACAGAACATATTAAAAGCTTATGCTTTAGACTTTCTATGCCTCATGTTCTCTGGATCATCATCAGTATTTCTGACAAAATGAATAACTTATATTTCACCCAGGGTTCCCTTGATGAGGTCAAGACATTCATACAGCGTATCGAAAAGAGCCGTAAACCACTGTCATTAATGTCAAAGATTGAATCTGAATTGCCATTGTCTCTGAAGAGGCTCATATGCCAAAATGTAACAGAAATTAATTACAAGAATCTCTTAATGCTATGAAATTTATAATAAAATGGGCTTTACAAATCACACGAAATATGTATTATGTTTTTCTTTTGCTGACCCCTGTTTAACTTTGGCAGATGTTAAACACAATTTAATCAAAACTCAAGGGGTATTATTCAATTCGGTTTCCCTGATGAGGCGGGGCTGGTCAGATTTGCAAAAGTTGTGAAAAACACACCTCCTCTGATGTGATTAAGTTGTGACATCACCAGCGTATACAAAAGCAGGGTCCATACTGGTCTAGTCACATTTGCTGGTTTCTGGCATATCTGTACCTCTGGAGCCATTTGATCTGCTAAGAAGACCCTTTTCAGAATGGAAGCCACTATTGTAAGTAGTTTTATGGCTAATTTTTGAAACACTTAGATGCAAAATGGAGTTTTAGAATATTCTTGTCTGCTTGCTTGTTTGACTGATTGATTGTTTTATTTCACTAGAATGAATTGACAGACTCAGAATGCTTGAGGGCTTATGAAGGTATTTGTCTTTCATACTTTCACACATTTAGATTCTGGTAAACATTTCTGCAACAAATCTGACCATAGGATTTCTCTTTTCCTTCAGAATGGGAGGATGACCAGTTATTCACTGATGTTGCTATTACTGTAGAGAACCAATTGACAGACTCAGAATGTTTGAGGGCGTATGAAGGTATTTGTCTTTCATATTTTCATAACATTTTAGATTCTGGTAAACATTTCTGCAACAATTCTGAACATTGGGGGCTTTTTTTCCTTCAGAATGGGTGGATGACCAGCCATATGTAGACCTTACATTACCCCAGGAGCCCCAAGAGGCCCAGCCATGCACAAGCTACACAACACGAATGCTGTTAGGAGGTATAATATCTAGCATTTTATCCAACTACAAAATCATTAGTATTATTTTTTTAGAAACTAAAGGGAGGGGAGCGTTATTACATTATTAGGAATGTTGGTGATAGCCTTTTGTTTGTTTGTTTAACCAGAGCCGGCCTGCAAAAAAGCAAAAATGCATGGAGGTGGACTTCCCGCATCCCCAGCAGACAGTCATAAATGTGATTCCACGCCAGCATCTCAACCAGAAGGGGAGATATGTCATTCTACACCACAGCTACAAGCCCCTAACTCTGCAAACTCTCAGAATATGAACAATGTTTATTTGGATATGGTACAGGAATGGGAGAAGCCTATCAGGAATTTCAGGGCTGTGGAATATTATCAACGCTATAGATTTATTAATCTTGACCAAATCCGGTCTTTTGTAGATGCTATAGAGGCTGTTCATAATGTGATACAGCCTCTTTTGAATAATGTTGCTAGGGACATAGGTCCAAATGATTTTGTTCAACTCCGGCTGGATGCAGAGGGGTTAAATCATCCTCTCTTTTCTCTCAGGAGGAATATCAATGATTTAAATGCTGAGGATTTTCTGACCGGTATTGAAAATCTGCTGCAAAGTAAGGCCGAGATACTGTGGGGGGGGTAATTTGCAATTAGTGGTTACTGTCGTGAAGAACAAGGAGGGGGGAGGTCTTAGGAAGTTAAGCACTGTGCTGCTCACCAGAGTGCTGGAGAAAAAAAGACAGCACCTAGTAGATTTCAATGTGGGAGGTGAATTTCTATGTTTTGCTAGCTGTTTGCTCTGGCTGATTGGCGGGGATGTTAGAAATCAAGAAATTATTACCAGGGCCAGGGAACTTCACAATAGACTGGGTGTTTCCACAGAAAACAGAATTGACTTTTCTCAGATACACCTCTTTGAAGAAGCTTTAAGGGTCACTATAAAGATCTTGTTTTATATGCAGGACGGTTGGCGGTTTTTTGTCACAGGTAGCCCCCAGCAAGAAAAAATAGTGTTTATATTGTTACACGACAAGCATTATTATGGCATCAAAAATATCAAGGGCTTCCTGGGTGAACGCTATTTCTGTAAATTCTGCCACACACCCTACCACCACAAATTTAGTCATGGCTGTCAATATATCTGCAGAGCCTGTCTCAACCAAGAATGCCAGCAGGTGGTGGAGGAGAAGGTGCGCTGCTGTA